GTAACTCAATTGAAATTTAACTGCATAAATAAATGGAGACTAACCATTAACCAACCAATAAAAGCCCCTGTGGTGTAGTCGTTGCACGGAACATCAATTCATTGTTGAAAGTTCAACGCTTTATCGTTCAGGACCTGGTTCAATTCCAGGCAGGGGCCTTTTTTAGCCAGTTCATTTTTATTTATAAATGACTACATGTATTTGAAATAGAGTTGGATCATATATTTTAATACTATACTCTATAATCCATGTATGTAATAACACTTTTCAGCCCCCGAAAAAAAGAACCCAATTTTCATTTTAATTTTTAAAAATGGACCAGATTTCGTTTCGTTTTAATCTGTCACCAGTTATAATACGGTTCTATTCTATTAAAAAAATAAGATATCAGATAAATAATCTCGATTATTTTCATTACACGCATGCTTTGTACATGTATTACCTTTCCCTAATTGTTAGAAAAAATCTTTGTTAACCAGCCGAATAATGATGATGTTGACAATAATAATAAAAATATTACGGTGCATTCTGTCACCTCTGCAGATATTAATTCGGGGGAAAAGAATATTTATAAGACCAATCCCTTTGAAAAGGTCAACACTAAGAACTCCAAGGAAACAAAAGTTCCCCGTGTTTCTATTTTTCCGCTTTTCTTAATGAAATAAATTTTCCCAAAAGTTCGTTTATTATTCCCCTTCATGTAATTATGATTTTCAACCTACATAAATATTTTGTTCAATCTTACCCTGTTTATCTACATGCAGGGATTAGACACAGTATTATATCACAGTCACTTGCTTTGTTTGGTGACACATGATTGTGTGTATATAATCGATTAACTTTAAATGGAATGGAGATTCTTTTTTGTTCACAAAAATTTTATAATAGAAATAAAAATAAATTATATTTCCATTTTATATTAACACTGGCTGGAAGATGAAATTACAACAGTAGCGACCATAATAAAAACAGTAATATCGATAATAGCAAACATTAGTATAAAAATTTAAATAATGGTTCTAGAATTTTTAAATGAACTTTCCCACGATTTCACAAAACTACTCGAAAATAAACAAGACTCGGACTTTTCAATTACCATTGGTAGCGAACCCGATAATGTAAAGGTTTTCCATTTACATCGATTGATTCTGCGTGCTCGGTCACCGTTTTTTGCGGCTATTTTTAATTTGACGACGACGAAAACGAATACTAATAAGATTGGTGAATTCTCGAAAAACGCTGATAGTTCTAATAATCAATTGGCAATAAAAAATGAGGATCTTTTTAAGAATACCTCGCCTGCTATTTTTGAAGTGATTGTCAAGTAAGTGCATACTACCGATTGTTTTTTAAGTTTTTTTTTTCAACATTTTATTAACATTCATTTTCGTTTATTTATTTATAAGATTTCTTTACGGTGGAGCATTTAACGTTAAAACACATAGTCTCGATGAGTTATTCGAAATTCTTGTGACTGCACATAAATTCAGAGTCAAGTCGCTTACTTCCTATCTCGAAGAATATCTAACAACCAAACGAGCGGATGACCTACGACAGAAATTCGCTCAACTCACCAAAATAGTTTACGAGAATTCGAGTCTTACAAAATTACAAAGTTTTCACAATGATGCGACAGAGAATGCCGCAGAGACAATATTTGAGTGTGAAGATTTCACGTCGCTATCGGAAGCGACTCTTGTCTCATTGTTACGAATCGATTCGCTTCGATTAAAGGAGATTGAAATTTGGGAAAAAGTTATAAAATGGGGAATATTCCAATGTCAAAATTTACCCGCAGATTTTTCGTCGTGGACTGCACGACATTTCGAGACTCTGCGTGTAAATTTATCATGTTGTATACCACTGATACGTTTCTTTGATATCTCTTCAGAAGACTTTCATCAAAAAGTTTTGCCCTATCAACAAATTATTCCGGATCAGATATTAAAAGATTTAATAGACTATCATAGAGCGGGATACGCACCAATAACGCCTATTCTTCCTTCTAGAAGTCCATTTATGTATTCGTCTACACTGTTACGGAAACAGCATGCGAGATTTCTATCTCGAGCTATCGAAGGATCATCATCAATAAACGGTATTTCCACACCGTGTATAAATAGCACATCACAATGCTCGTATGAATTTCGTTTGATTCTACGAGGCAGTCGTGATGGATTCTCCCCTTCAATTTTTCATCGATTCTGTGATGGAAAAGGACCAACTATAACCGTCATAAAAATAGCCAATTCCGAGAAACTGATTGGTGGTTATTGTCCATTCAGTTGGCAATCGAAAGGAGGTTATCAATATACGACCGAAAGTTTCATCTTTCAATTACACGAGCAAACATGTAAAAACGGAATCTTGAGTCGTGTCGTCGATCCGACTAAAGCGGTCTATTTCTGGCAAACCTTTGGTCCAGGATTTGGAAATGGCCCCGATTTGGCGTTACGTGAAAATTTCAAAGATCCTTCACAATCGTTTTGTCGCCAGAAATCTTATGAAGAACCTATTATTCCTGGTGCGGATAGACGTAGAGTTCATTTTACTACGGAAGAATACGAAGTTTTTCAGATTGTGAAAATCAGGCATGATCCCACGTATAAATTCTAGTCAATCTTATAATACATGTACACAGTGACCTCGATATAAACGGATGGGTTCGGGCAATTAGAGAAAAATCCGCTATATCGTGAGTTTTATTAGTAAATCCGTTATATCAAGCGAAATTTATTATGGCTGTTTTGAATCCGTTATATCGAGATTTTAATTAGTCTCCGCTATATCGAGAGTCCGTTATATCGAGAGTCACTGTGTACTTGAGCATTTCAACTATAAAATTTTAAAAAAAATTTCTATGAATTCATCCACCAAAATATAGTCATGTATAAATAGATGAAAAAAATCATAGATTCACGCGCGTTAAAAACTTCGCATTATTTTCGGAAATATGTGTTTTATCCGTTGGGTGGCTTAGTTTTAAAGACAAAAAAAACTTGTGTGACCGATCTAAAAAATATAAAAGGTGATAAAATTTTTATGTTAAAATCTCGAATAATAATGTCGAACTTGGTTCCCACGTATCAATTGTCAAAAATCTCTGAAATTTATCCTGCTCATGTAAAAGAAAATCAAACTGCGCGATATAATCAATTAATAGAAACATTTAAAAAGCGGTATGACGGTTGTAGCCCCTCTTTTATCGCTCGTTCACCTGGACGTGTGAACCTTATTGGGGAACATATCGATTACGCGGGTTTCGGGGTTTTGCCAATGGCCATAAGTCGTGATGTACTTATTGCTGTTTCATACGAGGATACTAACAATAATAATGGCGAAATAGTCGTAGAAATTTCCAATATACAGAACACACGCTACCCGGACAGAAAATTTGTGTATCAGGGTAAAGAACGTGTTGTTGATATTGAGAATGAAGAAGGAGTCGTGGAATGGGGCAATTATTTCAAGTGTGGATATAAAGTAAGGATACTTGTTGGCTCATCGTGGTGCTGTCAATTTTTTTTCCCACTTCTCATGTGTGTTAGGGTGCACTTCAATACCTACAATTAAATCGTCCTAAAGGAATGCGTTGTTTGATTGATGGGAATGTGCCGGAAGGCGGTGGGTTGTCGAGCTCGGCCGCATTTACATGTTGTGCGGTATTGGCCACTTGTTTTGCTAATGGTGCTCAGTTGAATAAAATTCAATTGACGGAGATTGCAGCCTCATGTGAGCGATTCATTGGACTTGGTACCGGAAAGTAAGTGATTTGTCTTATTTGCACTATGAATGGTTCTTATTAACGCGTAATTATTCACTTTAGCATGGATCAAACAGCTTCTATCTGCTCCCTTCTCGATCACGCACTCTACATAGAATTTCTCCCGACTCTAACACCCACACCCATAAAATTGCCCACCATCAACCCGCCTCTGGCATTTGTAATCGCAAATTCACTTACCAAGGCCGACAAAGTAGCCACCGCGCCTACAAACTACAATTTACGTGTAGTCGAAACAAAAATTGCTGCATATTATTTGGGCCGACAACTTTTCGACAAAGATTGTGAGATCTTACGAAATGTGGTGGATTTATACGATTCCGATAATCACAAAAAGGGTGTGACCATAGAAAAATTAAATGCGCTTTCACATGAGATTGACCGGTTATTTGAAAAGAAACAAGAAGGATATCGATTATCAGAGCTTTCGATTCTTCTGGAACTTGATGTTTCGGAAATCAAGCGCCGGTTTATTGGACAGTATACTATACGTGCTGAAACCTTTCATTTATATAAACGTGCGAAACATGTGATAGAAGAGTCGCTAAGAGTATTAAAGTTTTATGAGGCTTGTGTACGAGGTTGCGATGCAGACGACCATAGTAAAAGCGAAGAGCTATTTGATACATTAAGCAAGTTGATGAATCAAAGTCACGCGAGTTGTCGTGATCTTTATGATTGTTCGTGTAAGGAATTGGACCAGCTTGTCGAAATATGTTTGGGGAATGGAGCAAAGGGAAGTCGATTGACTGGTGCTGGATGGGGCGGTAGGTTTTAAGTTTTTATATTTTGTTTTTTGATATGTCGGGGCATTAAAAATAATGACTTGTTCTCGATAGGATGCACTGTATCCTTAGTTCCTTTAAATATGGTTAATAGTTTTATACATAACGTTCGCGAGAAATATTATCGACCACTGTTTCCAAATTTAAGCAAAGCAGAATTAAGTAATGTCATATTTGCGACTACCCCGGGAAGCGGGGCTGCTGTTATCATTGATTTATAATATTATTTATTTCTAATAGTAAATAATGCCAAGTCTTTGTTTGATTGTCTATTTAAGTATAATAATCTGACTTCGAAAAAAGATAACTCTAAGATAATGAACAAAAGAATAAATATATGTGAATCAACAAAAGACTACTAATATATTATTGAATATGTTATATACAAGGCGAACATATGTGAATTTATCTCTTATTTGCAGAGATAACGAGAAAAACACTTCACATTTCGCACATTATTATTGTTATTATGGTGATTGTATGATTTAAACGTATAAGGATATATCCAGACTTTATGCCACCACACATTACAAATATTGATTTCGACAGCAAAATATCCAGAGAAGACGGCGAAATATTCGAAAGAAGACAGCAAACCATGCGCACGTATACAGAGAGACATGTAGCCAACGAAAGATCTCATACACATTTCACACGCTATATAAAAAATCACTAATAAAATTTAAAGACAGTATCTTGGTCGTCATCGTCATCATCGTCGTCATCATCATCGTCATCATCATCATTATCCAACACCTTAAGAAAAAAATCACAAATCTTGTCACTTTCCAGAAACTGTCGCGTCCTTGCTTCTCTTTTGTAATAATAATTACCCAGGATAGCACGTTGTTTTAACATTTTACTCGTACCACCCTGCGGGTGAAGTATCTGTTCGTATTTCTTTGTCTGAAACAGCTTCGTAACCGATTCGAGACTGTTCGTTGCTGTAGAAGTAGCCTCATGATAACTTTCGTCAATTGACTTCCACGAAGAATAGGGTATGCATTTTTGTTTGAAAAGTGTAACCATTGATTCAAGTTTTCTCAAGTTATTTTCGGTGTCTTCGTGCATCTCATTTATTACATTTGCCGCCCGACAGTGATTGGGAAGATGTCGATCCGAAATTATTGCTCTTGCGCAGTCTCCCTCTTCGGTATTGCAAAGCTTGTAACGGTGTTCTTTTGTGCTCAACAGTGATGAAGTGAGTGGTTCTGTGTCGCGTACATTTCGATGTATTTTACGTGACACAACTTCATAGTAACGTGGTTTTTTGGAAACACCTGCGCTTCTTTCGTCGTCGCCTTCTTCGTTATCTTGAACAATTTTTCGTTTCTTGAGATTTCGGAACTCTGACATTTTCTGCGAGCGTCGGTAGATTTTTCCCTCAATACAAAAGTAGTTGTCGATTTGATTTGTTTACATCAAGAGGTGGTTGATGATTATCGTTATCGTTATTTAAAAATAAATTTGGGTTTGACTCATGTCACGTGTATTTAATATAGCAATGCTCGTATTTGACATATTTGATTGGTTAAACGACGCGAAAGAGGCTTGTATGTGTGTCATTATTCGAATTGTATTTTGTGGTGTGGTGTGAGAACAATAAAACATACATGTCTTGCATCCTCCGCCGCTTGTAGTTTATATTTTGCACTCAACAAAGACAAAATAATGGAATTTTTACAAAGAGGATATAAAGGATTATTAGGTGATAAGGGACAAACGCAATCTGCAGCAGACACAGTCATTAAATTATGTGATCGTGTAAACAATTCTACGTTGTTGGAGGATAGGCGAGCAGCCGTGTTAGGTCTAAAAGGTTTATCACGCGAGTATAGATTGGTATGCATATAGCCACATCTGTATCTGTAAGATTAATTAATGTCTAAGGCGTGGAATATGTAAAGTTTTTCTTGCAAGTAAGTTGCGACTAACTACATATTTTGTCGCGCCTCAAAAGGAAGTAGGAGAAAGTGGTCTACCCGTTCTTTTACGCATTCTTGATGACGATAAAGATGATATTGATATAGTGAAGGCAATTTTGGAAGTTCTTAATATTTTATGTACACCGGAGCGTCAGGAGGTATTTTTCATCGTTTGAGAATATTATTATCGTTACACATGTCATCTTATTTATTGATGTTTTTAATATAACGATCAAAATCAGGATTCTTCTTCAAATCAAGATTTGGGAGTTCGATTCACAGATGAATTGGTAAACGTAAGTATAAATAAGACGCGCTATCCTCTGGCTATTACAGTTTCTTGTCAATTTTTCTGATGGACTCTCTATTTGATAGGAACCAAAGAATATACATTTGTTATTAGAGCTCTTGAAGCAATTCGATTTCTACGTTCGATATCACGACGTACAATTGTTGTCAAAGCTTTTGATGATTCGGCCAGAACGAGTGCAAGAATGTGTGTTGACTGCTCCGATGGGAATTCCGCGATTAATGGATTTGTTAAATGATCGTCGCGAGATTATTAGAAATGGTGTGTTGTTTGGAAAATTTATTTAAGTTTTCTTATTGTATTATTGTCTTCAAAGTTTAAGTCTATTTTACCTTTGGTCTTTTTAGAGGGCCTTTTATTGTTAATCGCCTTAACTGAAACAAATGCTGAAATTCAAAAAATTGTCGCGTTTGAGGACGCTTTTGAAAATTTACTGGAAATTATCGCGGAAGAGGATGGCTTGCATGGTGGAATTATTGTTCAGGATTGTTTGCAATTAATTGTTAATTTGTTGAGATATAATGTTTTAAATCAGGTTTGTCCTATTTAAAAAAAACAAGTACTTGCTTTGTGATATATATGATTCTATATATGATTTTCTTGTATTTATTTTATGTATAATTTCAACAAGAATTCTTTCAGAGAGACGAGTTGTATACAACGTATTCCCGCGCTTTTGGGACACCTGCTTCAATATCAACAAAATTCCACTTATAAAGAGCCCATTGAATTTCTAACACAAGATTGGCCCGAACAACTTGTCAGTAATACATATGTACTACTGGAGCTTATCAGAATTTTGGTGGTTCCGAATAATACAAATACCGTGAAAAACCAGGTATTATTTTGTGTCAAAAACTTAAGATCAATAAATATGAAGAAATGTTTAACAATCATGATTTTTCATTTTATCGTTGGGGCGTGGGGATTAATCCTTTATTCATTATTTAATTTAATTAATCAATCATCAACTGTTTACTAAAGAATGTAATGCATCAATACAGCGTGCTGAAGCCGATCATTGAACTTGCACTGGCTTCAAATGCTCCTTCTCCATTAAAGGCTCAAGTAAGTATTATACCTCTAAACTTGGTTCCAGTAAATCATTATCCAAAATCTGATAATATCAAAATAGGCTCTCTACGCCTTGGCAGATCTCATTAGGGCAAATCAAGCGAGCCAAGAATACCTAGAAAAAATAGTGATCGCTATCCCGCATTTGCGAGAAACACCACCGCCTTATAATGAGAAAGCATTGCCGCCACAGTCTTATAATGAGAAAGCATTGCCGCCACAGCCTTATAATGAGAAAGCATTGCCGCCTCGGCCTGCTGTGATGGCTTTAATTGCAATAGCTGTTGGAGCTGAACATGTGGAGAATTATGCTACTCGTGCTGCTGCTACTTACGCTTTTGAGGTTTGTGGTGTTTATTAAATGTGTATTTGAGAATTAAGTTTTATTGTTATTATCTGTTGACTTTTAATATTATTATCATTGCAAAGTGTTATATATGTAATAACCCAGAAGCACAAATAGTCGTGGCATCTACATTGACTCCTCCCCCGGATCTTAATCCTGATCCATATGTATTAATAGGTGAATATTATATTACTTTTCAATCTCTAATTGCTTGAATTATGTTTTTGACTAACTGTTTGCATGAATATGAATTCCATCTCCTCGTATTATATGATTCCAGCAAAATCTCAATCAGCTGGTACACTATTACTCTCTGCCATTCTTGAATGGGAAGAATCCGCTGCCGACCCATACGTCGTATGGTTTGCATCCGTGATTTTCTCGCATATCCTAAAAAATAACGAACGTGCCAAAGAATTTGCACGACTAATAGATACGGGCGATGTTGAAAACGATGAGGAAGCAGTCTCATTGTTACACGCCATCGCGGGAAATCTGATGATGGCTACTCGTCAAAATGCGGATGTGCGCGTCTTGATTGGATATTTGTGTTTATTATGTGTTTGGTTATGGGATAGTCCAAAAAGTGTTCGAGATTTTCTGTCAGAAGGGGCTCATTTGCAAATTGTATGATTTCACTCTTTTCACGTTTTTCTTTTCAATATTAGCGATATATCAATAGACTTCGTTTTCTTTTTTTTTATGCATTAGCTCATTACACCAATAACACAGTCATCTGGTGTTGATACACGAGTGCAAGGCCTTTGCGCATTTTTATTGGGGATATGTTACGAGTTTAATGATGAAGAGGATGTCCCTATTAACAGGTATTGTTGAGACACGTTATATATAGATAATCGTAGTAGTGTCTAAATTTTCTATCGTAGATCTACGCTTCAACCGATATTACAAAATCGGATCGGTGTGGATCAATTTATTAATCGGATTGCGCGACTTCGAGAAATTCCCAATTTTAAGCATGCTTCTCAGTATCTACAGGTATAATAAATATTTCGTTTATTTCACAAGTAAATAATAAATGTTGTTTTATTGATTTGCTTTTTTTGTTCTGAATGACAAAGGTTACTCCAGAGGAGGAAGAAAAGGGACTCCCTGATTTATTTTTCGATTATTCATTCGTAGAGTTCTTTAAGAATAATTACGGTAATCATTCCATCTCTTCGTTTGGCTGTATTTCCGCAATTAAATTAATCCAAATCCATCTATATTTAAAAAAAGAAATAATCCAAAGGTCTATTACTGTCGATCCTAAAGCCGGGCCAGCACCACGACGAAGTGCAGATTTAAATGGTGGCAATGGAAGCTCGTCGAATGATTACTACGATATATCGGCAGCAGCGTCTGCTGCTTCGGCGACCATCGTGTCATTAAATACTGTGATCCAGAACCAGGAACAGCAAATTGACGAGATGAAAGAACAGATAAGTAAACTTAAAGAATCGTTAGAAGTCGAGGTAAAGTCGCTTTTTTCTTATATTCTTCAAACATAATTATTGTAAATTGACCACTATTTTTTTTACTACATTGATACATAGAAAACTGTCTCAGCCAACGAAATAGCCTCATTAACCGCACAAATATCGTCATTACAATCGTTAGTCACAACACAACAAACAAAACAAGCGACTTTGGAGAAAGAACAAGAAGATATAATGGTGCTTCTTGCCGACCAGGATGAGACTATTAAAAAGTATCGTAGACGGTTGCGGGAGTTGGGTGAAGTGGTGACTGATGTTGAAGAGGAAGAGGAAGAGGAAGAGGAAGAGGAGGAGGAGGAGGAGGAGGAGGAGGAGGATGAAGATGAGGATAATGAGGAGGGAAAGGAAGGAGGGTACAATGTAAATGAGGAAGAGGAAGATCGAACAAATGGCAGTAATGGTGTTGAGTCTTAGTGGTGGAATTATTATTATTATATAGAAATTTATATATTAGAATTAAATGGATGTATTTGTTATTTTTCTTTATATTAATATTTGATTTAAGATTATTTATTATTGTTGTTACTTAAAAAAATACATAATTTTGCAGAACAAAGGAATATCGGCATAGTTCCATTCTTTGTCCATTAATGTTATCAACTCGCAAAATATAAGGGCAGTGACAGTTAATTGATTTCGATAGCCCCCACCACATATAAAAATAATTTTGTGCTACAAAAGGCCAATATTAGTTAATAAATGTCACGCCCTAACCATCCAGAAAATTCAGTTACTCGGATTATTTAATAATAATTATTAAATTATTAAATTATCAAATTAATATACAAAAATTTATTATTTTTTGATTATAATGCTCGTGATTATAGGTTATAGGTTATATCTATATATGTGTACTATACAAAAAAAAGAGAAATGATTGCTGTGCTATGTTGATATACTACATTTTTTTTATATTTGATTCCTCGAAAAGAAGTAAAATGAACATTGTTTTTTCCACTCATCCTCATTTTGCTCAATAAATACTATGACCCTGGTGTACAATGTTCTACATCAACATCGGAATTTCCCCACCAAACAAGAAACTGTTTGCGCGGGAACCCAGTAACAGCCGCAAACACAAACATCGCACAAATAGTTGTCGCGGAATCCAATGAGGCCGCCAACACATAATTATATTTCCGGAACCAATTAGTGTGATAACGCGCGGCATAAAATTGTGATAGCGTGCTAGCAATTAATCCGGACATTATCACATTTGTGGGAACTTGTGGGATAAAGGAGGCGCCGCTTGCGATGATCGGGAGGTTGATGAGATTGAAGCCGGTGTTTGGATACTTTCTGTGGAGCAAGTAGAATGGGATGGGAAGTACGAAGCCAACCACGAAACCAAGTAAACAGCCGTAGTACAATGAACCGGGACCGAAAAATCTGCTCGGACCGATTAAGCCCCAGATGATTGAGGCAGAATAGAATATTTGAGGACTGCGACCAGACCACTGGCCGGTTGGATCGGGTTGAGTTCCATCCAGATAAGGACGTTTCAAATTAATAATCGCGTGTAGAACAAAGTAATTCACTATGACACCAATTGCAGTTCCATATAGTTGTGCAATAAACATGGCACGTGGCGGGATTTTCATATAATGACCAAGTTTCAAATCGCGGACCATCACGAGACATTGTGTCACCGTCATATATCCATAAGTTTTAAATACGACATTGGCAATCGGCCGACCCGGTAAAATATATCCACAAACCAATTCCGTCACAACATTCAACCCAATTTGAATATTTGATATGGCCTGTATAATCCCAATTGGGAGCACCATGACTACGGCTATGCAAATCGCGAGCAACACACCCCACCAAGGCAGAAGAGTTGGATACACTTGGACAAATATCACCGCGACAACAGTCATCGAGATCGTTAGGACAGCGAAACACCATCCAGGTACCTCCGGATACACATTCATCATCTTATGATGTATATCATCTTCTTCCACCCGTGAATTCTTGAGTCGATTCCAGATTTCTTTTCCGTAATAAATATAGACATGGGTGATCAGTGCAGTTAATGAAGCAAATGAGATCGCGTAACAGAATGCAAAGTATGGCGATAAATACATTTGTCCGTAACTCTTATATTTCTCCTCGTCGAATCTTCCTCCGGTAATAATGGCTTGTGGATTGTATGGTGAGCCATCTTCGCGAAAAATGCCCGGGGTGATAGGTTGATGATACGTTTGCGCGTTCCACACGTTCCCGTAGTAAAGTATCGGACCGATAAACCATGCCATTGAGATAATTCCAAAATAATAGTTTGCTGTTGTCCACCACGGCACATACAATGGACCAAATTGTCCAATCACACTCCAATCCAGCGAAAAATTCAAGAAACCGAAACCACCACCAAGAGATGATCCTAATGAGGTCAAAATCCTGTTTTTGTTGTTGATCAGACATAGAATAGCGACACTAGACAGCGTTGGGAAGAACAAAATTGGCAGTAGTTCCCAAATGAATGTTAGTCCAAATATGATCACGAAAAATCTTAATCTTGATCCCGAAGCTAATCCAGTATTCTCGTGTAATGTGTTATAAAGGGCGACTTGTACTAAGTTTAGGGGCCAAATCATAGACGCGGGATAAACTAAAAATTTTCGTAGTGCACCAGCGATACCATAACCAATTAATTGTGTTGACCAAAGAAATATAAGACTACCAACTAAACCGATATCTTGGTTATAAAACAAAGCTTGTATTGAAAGAACATATGTTGCATATGCAACAATACCACCAGTACTAACAGCTACGCTAATCAACACATGTTCCTTAATGTTAAATGGACCGGGATTCAAAGTCCATTTCCAACCCAAAAAATTACTATAAAGAAGATTTTAATTATTAATTAGATACAAAAAAAAAGCGCAAAAGCAAATTTACTTACAAATAATGTTTAGGCAATACGGCAGCCAAAAAATTACCCAGTGGATAAGTGGCCAACTGCACAAAAGGGATTGAGTAAGGTAACGCATTAGATCTAAACCATGAATACTGTGATACCGCAGCCCCGAGCACCGTAAAAATTGTTCCCAAGAGCCAAAATCGAAAAGTTAAACACGGTAACGATGAATTGTCTGTAGTAGGAACAACAGCTCTCACTATTGCTATTGAAGAGTTCTTTTTTTCGCCTTTGCCTTTTTTCGAGCTTGATATACTTATTGCGGCTGATAATCTTTTCGAGGCATTTTGACCAAGTTCAGTATTAATTATATTTCCATTATCAGATGCAACTTCATATTCAACTTCCGTGTCATCGTCGTCATATTCATCATCATCATCAAACCCGCCACCGCTTGAATATTGTCTTCGTTGCTTCTCGAGATCTGAACTGCCATCATTTGAGGTTTGTTCTAATTCTACTTCTACATTTTTCTTTTCATCAAAACTATTGGCGTCATCACTACCATCACGTTTTATGTCACTACTACCTCTTATCGATTGTGGCGGTGATTGATATTTCTGACGTGTTGCTATCGGTGATATTGATGACCTTAATGAAGCAGAATTTGAAAGTCTTGCCAATTTTCTTAATTGTTCTGGACTTCTGACTTCTTCTGAGAATCGAATATGTCTCGAGAATTTTTTCTTTAATTCCGGCAGTGAAGAGTCTGAATCTTCGGCTGCTACGTCGCCCCAAAAGTCAACTGACGGGTAAGTTTTTGCTGTTGCTGTTGTCTGCACTGAGTCACGTTTTGATGTCGAATTCGTGGTTGGAATGTGCAGTGACTCTTGAGTTTTTGATTTCACCGACGAAGTTGAGTCTCTTTTATTATTATTATTATCATTATTATTATTATTATTATTATCATCTTTGTTCATCTTATCATTATTATCATTGTTGTCATCATTATTGTTATTATTATTTTCAGTGTTTTTATTTTCTTCCATATTCTGTCTATTATCCTTGTCTCTTAATTAACTATCTCAATAAAGGATTAAATTATTTTTACTCAAGGAATATTATTTTGTTGTTTTGTTACTAAAAATTTAATATTGTTGTATCTGTCGTTTGCTTAGTCGCTTTTAGACGTTAAATACTCTTTTTATTTTACGCGTGCTTGTGCGCGTGCTTCGCTTGATAACGATACTATTTGACAAAATATTTTATTTTAGTTTTATTTATTCGACTATTTCGGAAATTCGTCTATTTTTTAGAGTTTCTTATATCCTTGTACGTTCGTGTTACTATATATATATATATATTTTTTTTTATCTATAAATTTACGTGTCTTTGAAAATATAAAAAATAAGCCGAGAAGAAAAAAACGAAATGAAATTTTTTTGCGATTTATCAAGCTTTCCTGGCTTAAATTTACGTGATTTTGTGGAAGGGGATGCAGAAAGAAAAAGAAGGTTTGGAAAAGTCGACACCTCAGAAACCTATAAAGGAAAAAAGTACGTGTTCAACACAAGAGGATAAAAATAAATAAAATAATAATAGTATAATCTTTATTTAGAATAAACAATATAATTGAACTAGTTTACTCGTTTCAAAATAATAGAAAATAGGTAAAGAGAATACATTTAATAAATAAATAAATAGGAAAGACACGATATCACCGAACCAGAATCTAGTAAGCGATGTATCACGACGATTAAAATTCACTAGGTAGTTATAAACACTACCGCGTACATGATTTTTTTGGGGAAGAAGCGAAAATTTTTTATTTACTTTTTGCTACTCTAAATTTTTCGTTTGCTGTATTCTAAAAATATGTATGTTGTATTATTCCAACCTAACGTATATGGGTATGTTGTTGTATTGTTCAAAATATGTTGTTGTTATATTCTACATATATGTTTGTCGTGAACTAATAAATAAGCGGATACGCAGGTCGAAGTTGGGGGTGTTCATTTCATGCATACATATTTGGAAAAAAAAAAGAATTAATTGTATGACGTGTGATGCATACATTATCGAAACTTGTCCGAAATTACAAAATTATAATTACCTTTTATCCTCATAACCGATAACACCTTGCTCAGCACGGATGGTAATACAGTGTCAAAATGACAAAAAGCGATGCAATCATAATATATGATAATGATACCTACATTTCTGTTTTGGATCATAACTCTTTTTGTTTACCATGCTATTAATCCCATTCTCCATGTTAGTTTGATCTCATGGATCATTCGAAAGAAAATCTAGAATTTCGTATTACTCGAAATAAAAATAAATGATGATAGATATTATTATTGTTGATCCACACAAATGATGACCCTTATGAAGGGAAATAATAATCCGTTAGATTGTCATTTTTCTTTTCTTTTTACAGCCTATCGTAACTCCAATAGATCATACGATCTTAATATTATCTGCACATTATTGTATACTGCACAGAAACAAGGTAGCATCGATATACAGTTGACTTCCTTTGTTCAATTATTCAAAATTTACTATATCGAGAATTTATTAATAAATTCATTATTGAGGCTTTCGTTATACATGGTCTTAAACTCAAATTTACTATTAGCGGAAGTTTAATTAGTCTTTACTAGATGTATAACGAACTTTACCATCAAAGAAAATCAACTGTACAACGAAATCTCCCCGATGCTCGTTTTATAAGTGCAAGATCATCAAATATTTTATTCTATAAATTCGATTAAATAATATTGTTACAAACAACTGTTGTCATTAAATTAGGCGAATTATAACTTAGGTCGTAACGTCGAATCGTCTTGTCCTTCTATCAAAAATCTACTACTATAAATATTATTATCAATTCTAACTGAATTCAACGGTTCCTTAACCGCCCATTCTAACATCGTCTCGTACACCCGACCATCAGCTCTCCCAAGCGCCGAATGTAACAAGAAATCCGGAATATAGAACGCATCAACAAGCGACAATATATTCGGACGTAGTTCTACTAATAGGGCGAGCACTTGGGCTTTAAGTAATGTTGCTTGTTGCGAAGTCAAGTACCCACTCATCATGAATTCCCCGACTTCTTTTTCCATTGTTGACAGTGCAAATAGGTTGCATACCGTAACGAGTACCGTGCGTAGTGATGGATTAGACTTTAATTGTTTTTGTCGGGTGGTATCGCCATTGTTGGGATTTGTGGTCTGGAGTGCAGCAATGAAATTTCTCACCAGAATGTATTGACAATGGGCACGTGAAATGTTATAGATTTCGACGAGCATCGAATTCCATGTACGATTATGTTTGTCTATTTGATCGACGGCGTTGGCAATTAGGTAGGCAGCACGGTGTGCGAATGCTGTTAATTGTATTTCGGGATTGTTGAAATCACTTGCTTCTATTGCTGGGCATACTTGATTAGGATTACGCATGTATTGTTGAATGTATGCGATTGTTGGGTTACTTGGTCTGGAATCTGAATCTTTGGAATCTAGCAATTGTCGATAGTTCTTGAAGAGCTAGATAACATAATCCAAGGTAGAAAAAGAAAAAAAATTTTAAAAAAAAACAAATGCAATAAAACAGCAAGTAAAACTTACATATCGTGCTGTCTGTTGAGTTAATATGTAATTATCACCTTCCCAGGTAACATTTGGCAGAAAATTCTGATAAAAATGTGTAAATCCACTGAAGGATGAAAATCCGTGTCCACCACACGATCTCCGACAATCTTCAATCGCATCGGCAGCCACCGAAGTCGATAACGCCTTCAATCCAGAACTGGTCGCATGTAAATCAGCCATCAACGAGAAATCACCCTTGTAAGTTTTCTCTTGATTCTCCTCGTACAGTCTCATTAACTCGTCCGCGGTAAATGAGAACGCATACGACATGGCAACCACAGGAAACAGACGGTACTGTTGCATGGTGTAATCTATCACGGCGGTCTCGATGATGCGTCCGTCCGGAAGTTTTGTCGGGTTCTCTTGGTCGACAGATTGTCGCCGGACAACCGAATACCGGATTGCAATAGTTGCTGCGCGTGCGAGCGTGTATCGTGCTCCGAGAAGAATTTTTGTGCGGACTAGCACCATTGTGCCGTATGAAAGTTTGTCGTTTGGTGGTTTTATGTAATTCCCGGTGTTTGGTTCCACTTTAGCAAAGTTGGCAAGCATGTTGAGGTGTGGTATGCGGACATGATCAAAGAGAACAAATCCATTATCTACAGAATTAAAGCTACATGAATACACACGCAGAATTAATACGAAATAAGTCGGAATTATTAGTTTACTATTTAATCATGAGCAAATCATAAATACCCAAATTTTGGCCCTACATCTCCAACGGTGATTCCGGGTAAAGGTTTATGTGTCTTCACATCACGTATAGGAACAATAAAGGGATGAGGTCCATAATCTTTGCCATTAGTCACCAATCGTGCCATTACAACGGCATGATTACTGGATAATAAGAATTATCAATAAAAAAGGATGTTCTTCAATTGATTGATTGATTTAATTGAAACTAAGCAAACTGAAAGATCAATTTACCTAAAATCAATCTTTCAACTCCTTTAAGCAAAAAAAAAAATGCAAAACAACTCACGCAGCTGCTCCCAAATTACCGACCCACCACTTTGACGCGGTCAATGTTGGGGAATGTATCTCGAATTCTTTAGTCTCCGGAATATAAGTAGCCGTTGTCTCGAGTCCTTGTACATTTGATCCGTGTCCTAACTCGGTCTGTGCGTAACAACCGATAATCTCAAAGTTTTTTGCGGGGATCATAAATTTCTCTCGTTGTTCTTTTGTGCCTTGACTTTCTAGCGTTGGGATAAACATGGATTTGTGTACGTTGAACTAAATATATTAATATATTAGAGTATTAGAGCTTGTGACCAATATTCAAAGGATTGTAGATGATGAATCAACGTACCGGCCCGGGTATATCTATTAACCAAGAAGCCAATTGAACCTCTTTCGATCCCCATTTATATTCTCTAATAAAAAACAAGGAAATTTAATTAAAAAATCATATTCTCACAATAATTGATTCTAAAATTCTTCGAATATGTACGTATTATCAAACAAATACAATACTTTGTCAAAACAGCAAGCCTCTTCTCACATGCAAGCGCCTTCTTAAAAAGCTCCGTTCGTCCCATATAGTAAAGCTCACTCTTATCAAAGATCGGGTCATTCTCGAGCAACGGCAATACTCTGTGCATGATATCGAGAAATTCTTCCCCGTAAATGAACAAGGTCAAATCTTTAACGTTGAATACGGCTTTAGCCCTTTCTACTGCCAGGATTTCGGACCCCTGTGGGTCGGCAGGTTTCAGATTTTGTGGGATTTTGATGTAGGATGTCATTGCTATCCGGATAATATTAAGTATAGTTGGGAACAACAGATAAAGCGAGAAAGTAAAAATTTCAAGCTGCGTTAAATATCTATTGAAAGTTTTACTCGAAATAATGATCTGATCTTTTATGCCGATCGATGTATTCTTTAAATAGAACTAATGAAGTTTTTTGAATCCAATCCTATTTTTTCATTTAAGTTCACATGCAAATACATCCGGGAAAGGTATCTTATATGGGTCGTTTGATCACGCGTTTAATGTAAGGTTCAAGTTTTTCCCAGAACAAATTACGAAGTGGTTTTTACAATTATTAATCGTATTTATTTTTGCTTATAAATTGAATGAATGATAAAAAGATCAAATCATTTAGATAGCACATTTTAGAATTATTGTAAAGAAACCGCCGCGTTTTAGCCATAAGACATTTTCGCGAGTATGTTGTAAAACAAACTGAAATGTTAACGTGTAACGTGTTGCAAGCGATAGTATCTTACTTTCACATTTCATGATGCTAAATGCGTTTCGTAAAATCATAAATCCTACTAACGTATACAAAGTCTCGTTTTGATTGTATGCGTAGATCGATGATTGGATCACCAATTTTTACCGAAAAAATCAAAATTCAGAATGAGACTATTCTAAATAATGGACTATTTTATCACGTCAAATTGCATCACGCACTAAATTACAGTTCTCTGACAAATAAAAAAGCGCAAAAAGTAGTGTAAATTAACATGCGGCAAATAACAGCCGTTCAAAAATCCAAACTTACGACATCACTTTTCACGAGTGTTGCCCTGTTTGCCGTGTTCACGGTAGCTGCGCAAGGCCTATTACCTTGTCCGGCTATCGATGATGCTCAACGACGCGCATCGTTAGAAGAACGAAGTAGGCTGCGTCGCCGATTACAAGAACAAGACGATTTAAAGAGGGATGTGGATGATAAAAGTGGTAGCAGTGGACAAAAAGGGAATAAAGATAAAAAAGTCACGGTGGTGGTGTTGCCGAGAAATAACAATGGTAGTAATACTGTTTCGATTAATGAATGAGAGCATTGGTGATGAATTGTAATATAAAGTGTGAAAGTTCAAGCTGCGGGCATGAATTAAACTTTTTATTATATGTCTACTAAATTATATGAGTATATTTAATTAATTACAAATAAACAGTTAAAAATTCTAATAAATACAAAAAAAATGAGCCATAAACTTAATAAATAATCACAATGAGCCATAACATTAATAAATTATAACTATGAGAATAACATTACCAACA